AAAAAAAAAAAAGACGATGCATTTAACTCTGTATCCTATTCTTGACTTTCACGAGAATAATTGACCCAAAAAACTAAAACAAGTAGCAGAAAGCACGTTTATTTCTTTTTCCCAGTTAAAAGAAAAGACCAAACTGGATGGTCTTCTCGAGATTTGTTTTTCAATTTTGTAATTATACGCGGTACTACTTTACTTCGGAATGGCTTTTCTTTGTTAATGTTATTAAACGTTCACTAAAACCACAAGTAAAGTAAATAATCCTCTCTTGATTTTAAGCAAGTCTTTACCAACACATGCAGATCCTTAGCAAACCTTCCTCAACTTCAAGTTGAGTTGAATCTTATTAACATTGAGTTGAGACGTGCCTGATTATTGTCATAAAACTTGCGACGGTTTTCGTCAAAGTAATTAAGTTTTTTATCACCCGATTGTCGAGATTTGAAAATACGACAACATTAAGACGAACTCAGATGTTCTTCATATTGTATACCGATATCTTTCGATTTACTATTTATATTTAAGTATTTCACAAGTTATCTTTAATAAATAAGCCCGACAAAACTTTTAGTTTACACAGGAAAGCTCGAAATCAAAACCCCGCTTTGTATATACCCACACTGAATCATCACAAAGCATGTTAGTTTTAAAAACATATTCATGATCAAGAAACAATATTAGAACTTGAGAAAGAAGAATGAGACAGAAAAAAAGATTCAAAAACACAACTACTCACTCGAATGTTCAGCAGAGCTGTAAAGCTCTCGACATCCTCTTTGATGAACCCCTTGAGCACTCTGAGGTTCGATACGTAAATATGTTCACCTCGGTAGAAGTCTAACTCAGTGGACTTGTCAAAGACAAAAGTCGTAACTGACAGCTTCTTGTGCTCGTGCGTGAAACAACTCACGCATGTATGCGTGCTGTTTCTATGAGCTGGGTTGACACTGCCTGACAACCTCACGCCTAACACTTGCATATAGATGAAAATATATATATCTGATTAATAGGGCAAAAAATAAATTATTCATTGTATTATACCAAGATTTAAATTACTTTATTTCGTTAAATCTGGTTGTTCTTATTGTTGCTTTCTTAGTGCAAAAACACACAATAGGATATCTACCGCGGGTAATCGAACCCCTTATTTTGCATGAATAATTAAAACATAATTAAAATTACTTTACATAAGGTTACTTAAACTACCATGTTCAAAAACGCATATGTACTAAACATAAACGAATCATAAACCTGAATGATATAGAATATAGAATAAATTTAATGCTGTACTTTGGTAAATACGGCTCACAAATACTTATTAAATATATTTCACTGACTGACGAATATAGAATCCCCCAGTCAGAGACAAGTATTTCAGTTAACTCTAGATAGTATCAATCATTTCTTCCACACTTGTAAGAGAAACCTAATAACTAATGAAAAAATTATTATGAGCTTGTAAAGTTTGGGCAAAAAACTATAACAAATGAAATTAAAAGATTCAGTCCAATTTAATCGTTACAAAAGGGAATCAAAATAAGTGAAAATATACTTAATGGTCCTTTGTTAAATGACCCATTACCAATTACATTTGCATGATTCATGGTTTCAAATATACTGAAAATACAATATCAGACTTTTTTAATACTCTAATTATATATTTGATATAGGATAAACGCGCAGTAAAACTATGTCGTGTTAAAATTTATATCTTTTGATTTAGTTCAGGGGTCAGCTTATTATAAACTTTAAAGTAAAATGTCACATACATCGAAAAGAAAGTCCTCTATCTCAAACAGCAGCCGGGCGGTGAAAAAAGTATGACCTGGGACTTTGTAGGCTTAGAGAACCCAATATCCTCTCTCTGTTCATAATAAATTCCACACGGTTTTGCCTTAGTTTATTCAGTTTTGTTGCATACGTATGTAACATTTATTTTCCAGAGGATGCCAACCCAAACTTGTATTCCACTACAAGCTTCTAAGAAATAATCTAGTGACAGAAAGTTGGCAACCTGTTTAGAATACCAATCAGACCTGTCTCTACTTTGGAAAATTAAGGTCATTTTCATTTATATTCATGGAATAAAACTTTCGATTACCCATTTTTTTTACATGTTATCTTATCACATAACCTACTTTAGAAAAGAAAGTAAGAAAAGCTAAATAAAAATGTCGACTACTAAAACTGGACACATTACTTGTTATTAACCGGAAAGAGGCGAGGGTTCTGGATGGTCTTCTTCAAAATAGGTGAAAAGAAAATGATCAATTCTTTTAGAAAAAATTCGCTGTAGGAAATAAACGTGCACTGTCAACAATAAATGGTTTCTCACAAATGCGTGTTATTCTACACAAATAAATTGTGACTAATTCAAGGTGGTGCCTCCTTCATTATTATTATTGTGTAAAGCACAAACATTCGGCTATTCTAAATTTCATAAAGGATGTATGTCATTGGGTATCACTTTTGATTAGGAAGATTGGGATCTTTTTAATGGAAAGTTCGAACTATTTGTATCTGATGGTTATTGGGATCTTTCTTTAATGAAAATCTCATATTTTAGTATCCGATGGTTACTGGGATCTTTTTAATGGAAAATTCATACTTTTTGTATCTGATGGTTACTGGGATATTTTTTAATGGAAAATTCATACTTTTTGTATCTGATGGACACTGGGATCTTTTTAATAGAAAGTTCAAACATTTTTTATCTGATGGTTACTGGGATCTTTAATATAAAGTTCATACATTTTTTTATCTGATAGTTACTGGGGGGTCTTTTTAATAGAAAGTTCATACATTTTTTTATCTGATGGTTACTGGGATCTTTTTAATATAAAGTTCATACATTTTTTTATCTGATAGTTACTGGGTGTATTAAAAATTAAGACTATAAGTTGGCTGCATGCAAACGTCATTGCTCAATGCTTCGTTAACGGTCTTCTGTTTCTGTTTAGTTGTTGAGGTACCAAGAAAGGTTTATCATTTTCTTCATTAAAATGTTGTGACTTGAACTTTTTACTTGACTTTCATCCAGATTTCACATTTTTTTTATGTTATTCATCAATGCTTCTCTGTCGAACTCTACAATTTTACGTCATACACTTGATTAAAGTGCGATGTGTATGTTATGGGATGTTGGAAATAGCTGAAGTGGAAGCAGTTGATTCTCATTTCGTAGTGTTATGAAATAAACAAAGTTTATACTGATCGTGAAGCTTTCTTTTAACAGCATTTTTCAAGCACAAAATGATTCGATTAATAAATCTTGTGTTGTCCTCTGTGGAACAGTGGTAAATATATAGATTCACAACGCTAAAATCCGTGGTTCTATTTTTCGCGAGGGACACAGCAGATAGTCCAATGCAGCTTTGGTCTAAAACAGCCAAACAAATATCAAATTGCTTAGATAATTTGTTTTAGAGTGCCAAGTTAATTATTTAGATTTATACATCTATCAACCTATTTAGGTATTGACTTGAATGCCCAATTGTAAGTGAATATTTTGTCCACGTTTTTTTCGCTCAACTTCAGTCTAAAATCATTTAATTTTATTTTAGTCAACATGCTTTAAGCGATTTAGTACAGAACGTTTGTTTTGGCGCAATGCTACACAATAGGCTATCTGTGCTCTGTCCACCATGGAGAATTTAACCCAAGATGTTAGCGTCGTAAATCCGTAAACTTACAGCTGACCCACTGGGGAACAGATATAGAAGGGAAAATAATACTATAAAGAGCCTTTGAATTTCCTATGACAAGTTATTATAATGCCATTTATAACGACTGCAAGAAATAATTCTTAAGGTGGTTTTCTTATACATAACATCAAACCATTAAAAGTTAAAAACAACATTTAATTTGGAATTCCCTCTAAGTTCATGTGCTTTAGCACAACGTCTCTAACAATGATAGAGATGCCAGGTTTCACGTGATTCTGGAATGCCATATGCTACAGGGTTGAGTGCCTTATATTAAAATAAAGTTCGTGATGTCATGGCGTATATCAGAACTACATTGTGACGTTCCTTGGCCTTTCGTAGATTGTAAAATGCCAAAATACGTTCACGTGCCCAAGCAACATAATCAAGAAATATCTCCTTCTAGAAAAGCGACACAAGCTATCTTCCACTACATACTTTTTCAACCGTCTAATTCCTAAAAACAGCTGTAAATTTCAAACGGGTGTTCGTGCTATTCCATTCGAAGACATGCCAGTCAAGTCGCCAATAATTTTGTTCGATCACACTGTTGGAACGGGCGCTGAGAACTAGATGTGCGTTTTATATACGACAAACCTATGATGAAGCCTTTTGCAATGGAAACTACGCTGCAGGATTTTTATTAAGATGCACGGTCGTCAAATAGAGCATGAACGGACGTGGTGAAGCTCCATAATCATTTTAATATAGTGTACTCAACCTCAGTATTCACTTTTTTGTGGTTCTTACCAAACAGACCACACACAAATGCACGAAACTAAATAGATCTGCATAAGCATTACTATTTTCTGAAGTAACTTCCGACTAGTATATGATTGAATGCTTGGAAGCCTAAACGGTCGCGTACTGCCTGTTTCATGATAATGTAAGTTTTATGGCAAGTCTGTTTTGCTCTTACTTTAGCTGGATCTATAAGTGAGGCTAAAACAGTAATAATAGCAATAATAATAGCTCTAATTTTTATAAAAAATTCTGAATATTAAGAGTTGTTTATTGTATTTTTATCAAACTTGTAATTAGTTTTCTGTACATTAGTAAATTTACATTTCATGCAATAAATCGTTTATCGTTAGTTTCTAACTTAATCATAAAATACATTTACCTTTGTATCACTAATGTTTACCTTAGTCATAAACTTCGTTTACCTTTGTGTCGTTAATGTCTACCTTAATCATAAAATACGTTTACCTTTGTGTCGTTAATGTCTACCTTAATCATAAAATACGTTTACCTTTGTGTCGTTAATGTCTACCTTAATCATAAAATACGTTTACCTTTGGACAGGATTGTTTCAAGTTCTGTTATGTAAAATTTCTGAATTAATTCAAAAAATAACAAGTCTGCTTTACGTTAATTGAGATATACATACTCACATTCTTATACTCACTATCGCGACTCGAAATGCGCGTTACTTCCCACGTTCACTCATTCTATAATGCCTGTATGAGGAAAATCGAAAGCCATTAACTTAGAAGTAATACGAACCCTAAACTAGCTGTTACCGTGAGGGTAAACGTCATCGAAATGCCATTCGTTAGCATTTATCGAAAGAACAATGTACATCCTTGCGGAAATTGAAGGTGCGCGTTGCTAATAATTAAGTGTCGCCATCCCTTGGGCATATTTAAAATCAATCCTCAATAAATGTATCGTAATGAGACCTTTCTCATATAACCACATAGCCGCAATGTGAATTTATTGAAAGCAGTTATACATTACGCATATCAAAGTTGGGAACTTTGCACACACAGACCATGAACTCTTATCATAATACATGCCGGTGATTGGATAATCTTTAGCAAATCGCACTTTTTAATTTAGATGATGAAATGTGTTATTAACAAAATACTGTTTTATAGTTGGCTTCTGATGTCAGCAACAGTAGCTAATTATGATCGGCAGTGTCCTATCTATACAGAAAAACATAATAATAAAGCGTAAGTATAATATTAGGTGTGTTCAAAAGTTTAATCAAGTTAGTATTCTCAAATAATTTAAATATTGGCATTACAGGCCGACGTCTTGGTTACAATCACTTTCAGGCTTAGATAAAAGAGAAATACAGAAGCGAATACTTCAGCATCCCACTTGAAGAGAGTTTTTTTTATTTATTAATTTGTATGAAATAACTTAACTGTGTTCCTTTGTATTATTATCGCTAAAGTACAACTTCTGTTGTTCTATCTATTTATCCGTGTATATATATATATATATATACATATATAATCAAAAGGCTGTTAGGGACAATTTTAGAAGATTTTTTTCTATCGCCAAAACTTTCACACTTCTTAAATATTCTCAGAATGGTCGTACCGAAGTTATTTATATATTTTCTCTGGTTATAACATTAACGGGATAATATGCGTATTTCTTATTGTTTGCAAATTGCTAAAAGAAACATGGTGAGAATGGTGTAACTATCCTTTTAAAGTTTACATTATAATTTCGCACAATAAATGCCACTTTGTTAACCCACGCGCTCGCATACGCACACACAAACACTAATTATTTTAGAATGCTGACAGCCACAGAGTTCATGAAACGTTTAAAAACACGTCTGGACCATTATGCCTACGAAAAACTGGCTGTTGCTTCATATGCTTCATTTTCTAAGAAACAATGTTAATACCATCATCGTATGTTTAATCGTTTCTCGTAATCAAAACAAAACACACGTGAGAGCATGATTCGATGATCAAAATTTTAATTGAATCTGTATTACGCAATGACTTGAATTTTGGTGTTACAGATTCACCGAAATACAGTTGCAGTGTGGTTTAAAACCAAACCAGAATTAGAATAAGTATATACATCCTACTAAGGCTTGATATAACTCAGTGAGGTTATTTTATGTTTCAAGTTTTACATACACTTTGTAAATGTTCTTCATCTGATAAACATCTGAGTATACATACACTAACTAGACTAGTTGTAATTAAACACCATTCTATATGTATAAGTAGTCGACTGTGTACTGTAACATGACAACAACGAGTCCTTGGACTCACGTGACTCGTGACTCAAACACCAGTAAATTATTTCGTTTTTTTAATGTCATTTAATTTTATTGTTGGAGATTATTATTTTAATGAGTCTATTTTTGTGCAGTACAAGTGCTTCGAGATCAAGGATGGAAATATGTAGGCTTACTTTGAGTTTGACAATGAATATTTTAGGAAATCAATGGCCCGTTAATCTGTGACAATTTTATCTGTTAAAGTTATACTCGGGCCCAATTAGAGGAGAGGGGAGGGGGGGGGCATTCGGCCAAGGCTTCGGGCTCAAAGGGGGCCTCACATTTTTCACTTGTTTACCTTATGTTGTATATTTTATGTATATGCTTATATTTAACTTATTAAATAACTTTGTTTTTTTTTATTATTTGCAGAGTACATGAAAGTAATACCAACTTTTTAATATTTGAAATTACCAAATAAACCTTATGATGAGAAGATTTGAAAGTGGTGCAACCAAGAGACAGACAAAACAATTAAGTGAAGCAGCAGTTAAGAGCTCGAGGACAGTAACTTCATTTCTCAAATGAAATGAAAAACACTTCTCACTCAATCACAAATACTTCAGATTGTGAAAATTCTACAAACACAACAAGTAATATTTCAATGCCTGAACATGATGACATTGGTCAAGAAGTGACGGATGCAGTAGAAAATCCCATATATAATCAAGAAACTTAGCAGTAAGAATTTAATCTGGATCTTCCGCGGCAAGAGCAGGAATTCACGAGTAAGCCTATTACAGATTTGACAACAACTGACATTGGAACTATTAACAAGACAAATGCTGCCCAAATGCAATTACTTCTTCAAAGAAGATGCTTTAAAATTCCCCGTAACATTCCACAAGATACTAATAATCATGCTTTTCCTTTTCGTCTGCTGACAAAAACTCTTCCAAATGGGGTGATCTGTAAAAGAGACTGGTTATGTTGGAGTATGAAAAAAAAAATCTGTGTACTGTGCACCTTGCTTCATTTTTTTAAAAAGTGCTGTAAATGCATCAGTTCTCACTAATCAATCAGGATGGAGCATTACCAGAAGTTGGAGAAAGTTAAAAGACCGAATACCACTACACTAGAGCTCAGCATCCCACAAAGAAAACTATATTGCAAGGAAATCATCCAATAGGGCAGCATTAACTGGAAGTTCGATTGAAGATTTACTCTTTGTTGAACTTACTATAGAAGCTGATAATTGGAAAAACTTCCTGAGCGCATCCTGAATGTCATCCTTTTTCTTTCTGAGCGGGAATTGGCTTCCTTTAGTTCCAGTGACTGTTCAAATGTAAACTTTCTAGTTATAATTGAGGTCCTCAGTAAATATGATCTATTATTATCAGAACATGTAAAACGTTTTCGCGAATCGCAAGAGAGAGAAAAAAGCGCATGAAAATCCATTATCTCTCCACAGACACATAAAATGAGTTTCTTAGGCTATGTGGATCATTTATACAAACAGCAGTTCTTGATGAGATTTGAAATGCAAAGTACTTTCAATCATTGTTGATGCCACTCCAGATTGATCTCACAAGGAACAGACTACTATAGAAATGCGATATGTTAAAATTGTAAACACTCAAAGTTTTCAATTGAAGAACGGTTTGTCTTGTTTGATAACACAAACAACTGGAAAATAAATTGCTTCTCGTGTACTAGAAATTCTATAAGGCTTCAAGTTAGATTTCCAATACTGCAGTGGCCAAGCCTATGACAATGGATGTAATATGGCAAAGGTATACAAACAGTTCTGTTTGAACAAAATTCAAATTGTATTTTCTCTAGCTGTGGAAACCACACTCTAAACCTTGTTGGTGTTGACTGTGCTGAATTATGCAAGGAGGCAATTACTTATATTGAAACTGTTCAACAAATGTATAATCTCTTTAGCAGCAGTCCACATAGGAGGGAAATTCTGAAGCAATATCCTCCTGTTTCACTTCATAGTATGTCCATAACCAGATGGTCTGCACGGATTGATTGCGTTAAACCAGTTGTGCAGCTTTTTGATTTATTGAGAAACGCCTTAAATATGTTGAATCTCTAAATCTCACTCCTCAGACTTACATGTCCAAATATGAATGCATTCTCATGTCATCATTGTGGCTAAACTACTTATAATGATCCACCAAACTAATTTGATAATTGAAACACACAATGCTACCCTTGTTGTTGAGAAAGATAACATTGAAATACTTATCAATGATATTCAACAGATTGTGAACAATGGGATTCAATCTTGAAGAAGTCCAAACTAGTAGCAGAGAATCTTGGAATTTCAATTGAGTTATCCACGAGACGTAACTTACCTACTGAACTGGATGCCGAGAAGTTCTATAGTGTAGACGTCTTCTTTGTCATTACTGACTCCATAAAATCGGGTCTTACACGTCCATTTGCGTCACTACGACTTATTTGTAACCTCTTTGGGTTTCTTTAGCAGTCCAAGAATCTGAGGAATGGAGATCTATTTTCCACAGGTGAACAATTTCAGCAAAAATAGAATATGAAAATCTCAAAAGAATTCTATGACGAATTAATCTTCTTCAAACGAATATATTCGGAAAACTTCAAACTGATTACAATCCAAAGGATCTTCTTCAATAAATACTTGAAATAGGACTCACTGGCATATTTCCTAATATCACAACTGCATTGCGTATTTTTGTCAGTTTGCCCATATCTGTGGCACCTTCAACATATTGAAGCAGGTAAAGACCTATCACCGTTCAACTATGGGACAGGAGCGTTTGAATGGGCTTGCCATGCTTATTATCAACTGTGTCATTTCACGCAAGCTAGATTTTTCATCAATAATTAATGCATTTACAGAGGAAAAAGCTAGAAAAGCATTTTTGTTGAATAAATATAAAATGTTATGTAATTTAACAAAAATTATGCTCCTTGCACTCAATTTCTATTTTTAATTGAACTTCCTTAATTAAAAGGGCATTAAATCAAAATACGTTGATACGTTCGCAAATTTTTTAACTTCAGTTTGGGTTGCTGAAATACATTGTCTATTTTCAATGGTCTGTCACTTATGACAGAAAATGAAATAATAATTTACAAGTCTAACGTAGATATATTTATTCCTTCTTCAAGTGAAACTAACATGAATAATTTGTGGTCCAAACATTGACTCTATTGTATATTTGTTATACTGATAAAGTGTTTTGAAATGTTTTGTTATAAAAAATAAATAAAACTGTTAAACATAATGTTATTTTCCTTTGTATATAACTACCTAAATAAAATTGAGTAATAAATAAGTTCAAACAGATACATAAGTAAACACAAAAAAAATACAAATAAACCGTGAAAAGGCATGGTCTCAATTATTTCTGTGGCCTGGGCCTCATTTGCCCTCTCAAAAGGCCTGGTTATACTCATTTATGAATTCCCATAGTTGTTAATACGAAATTGAATAATGTATAATATTAATTTCATAAACTTCCATACATATTAAACGTGTATCATGC